GAACCAATAATAACAATATAAACATGTTTGTGATGAGTACGTAAAATCTGAAGGAAAGAAACTATAAATTCAAACTCAAGAGAAAATAATAAAAGTTTGAAATAAAATATCTAAGACATAGGAAGATTAAAATGTGTTCTCTAACTAAAATCTTCATCTTCATGAATAATTAACATGAAAAAAAAATCCCCCAAAAATTAAATAGGAGAAGGAAATAGACTTATAAGAGAAATGATGAATTATAAAATCTAAAAGCCTATATGTGAAAATAAGAGAATAAAAATATTGCATAAAAAAAATTATAGCTATGAAAAATAACATGTCTGATTTTTAAAGATAAAATCTATTTTATTGTTCCGTGTATCATATTTATTGTTGAAATTTCACCTTTCCAAAAATGAAAAACAAGCTAAGAAAAAATAAAGTAAAAAGAGGGAAATGAACAAATAAAGATTAATAGAGAAAAGAGAAAAAATACCACTGAATATCATAATTGAAACTGCATTATATAAATCCTCGGATCAATCTATTTTGAATTCCAAGAACATTACAAATTGGATCATAAATTAATCTAAAAAGAGACATGTTCTATAATAAAAGAGGGGAAAACAGTGTTAGAAGAAAACAATAAAGAAATAGTGTTAGAAGTTTAAGACCTTTCTGTTTAAAAAAAGAACAAATTAATCTTCAATGTCAAGTAAAATCCCAAAATCTCTAGTAAAGAAAATTTATTTTTATATTACAAACAAATTACATATAAAGAAATATGAGGATCAACCTATTATAGATCAACTACAAGTTTTCATGTCCTTAAGAGACAACTTATCAAACACAAACAAAGTAAATTGAAAGGCAGGGGATGAAGGAGTCTTCGATTTCTTAACTTAAATAGTGTTCCTATCTTCCATGCCTTTGAAATGTGTATGAAGATGAAATGTTTCAAGTACTTAAAGATGAGATATAGTTTCGTGCCTGATGCTTAACAATGCTATCTATTACTTCAAAAAGAACCTGAAAAAAGTCATCATTCACTTAGATGCTTAACTATTCTATTACTTCAAAAAGATTTGTTACTTTCAATTGGCTTTTTACGTGACCTATTCATGGTGATTTAAATGTAAGTTTCACACAATATCTTTTCAATTATCATAATTATTGTAATTGAAATGTGAATTTATTTATCAGATAATTAAAATATTATGTTTTCTATTAAAACATCACATTCACTGTGGCAGCGAAAAGTCAAAAACCATCGAGTTTCGTCAATTCCATAACATAACGAAGAAATTGGGTTAGCTGGAAACGTTGACCGTAAAGGAATTAGTTCAAATGTCAATATTACTGGTAGAGAGGTCTTGACCTGTAAAAATGTTCACAGCGTATCACAAATGCAGATATAGGAATGTTTCACATAGATGCATCGATAAAGTTAACCTGCTAAATTTACCTTTTTCTTTATAGACGTTCAATGTATGAATGTTGGATATGGTGTATTTGAACAGAGAATTCCCTAACACTGTATTCACCATTGTTTCAAAAAGAAGCATTTATTGTTAAGATTTGGTATGTTGGGTTCTAGCCAACAGATATGAAATGTGGTATAAAAGGAGAATGTTTGGGTATTTATGTCATAATTCATTTGGAATTCCTCCTTGTAGGACTAACATTAGCAGTTGTGAACAGAAGTCAGAATAATGTCACTTTTTCCTATACATGGGGTCTTGTTATTCTTTCTCACCAATAATCAGATTTTGATTAGGGCCTCAAAGACCACAGACTGGCCCAATTTCAGGAGCTAACATCCTTTTTACTCAATTTAAGTACTGGGTTTCTAAATGCAAGAGTGGCCCAAATAGAACTCCAGAGACAGCCATCCTGAACTTGAATCAGAGACCTGGCCCGTGAAGTAAATCATCGCACCTACGGTCCAACCAATTGAAAGAGAATCAATAGATTCCTTTTCAGGGGCGATTCATCCTTCCCGAACGCAGCACTCAACTCTCCGTTGTACTGCACTCTCCAAGTGCGCTTGTTCCCCCCTTCTTCCTTACCCCGGCAAGTCTTTGTGAAATAACTCCGATGAAAGAAGAAAAAAAGCGTTAAGAGACCCTCCTGGCCCAACCCTAGACACTCTAAGATCCTTTTTGAAACCTGCTCCCATTTCGATTTCGAGTCAAGAAAAAAAGGGCCCTTTTATCACACCTGATGATTCAACTGATTTTTTCCAAATAATCAGCAGCACAAGCACACCATACTTAGGACCCCTCATACATTGTCATGGAAGAACATCATCCTTTTACAAGGTCCTACTTCACATTGCAACACATCTTCACATTGTTTCTATTGAAATTATAACCCGTATTTTCTATACACCACATCATAGTTGAAGGATCGCTGGATAAACCCTAATGTAGTGCTTCAAAATAGTGAATTTGTAATATTCTAAGAGCCTAAAATTCAATCAGCAAGCAGATTTCATAATAAGATTTTCATTATTTTACCTGATGCAATTCTTTGTGCAATTTATACAACGGAGAACTTCTAAACAAATTGCAGATAATGACTCCAGAACGAGACCTTTAAAGGCATGAAACAGAAAGACTACACTCCCGTTGCCCCTTTTTTCCACATGAAGGGTGATGGAAGAACACAAACCCCATAAGATTGAGCAAGAATGCAATGCACCCCAACTCACCATATCCTCGTTTATATCTTACTAAAAATGCTGCTGCTTTCAAAGAACAGAACGTAGACACTGGGATCTGGAGTGTAACGCACAATTTTAATCGCCAAGGTCATTCATTACTCTCTCTAACATAAATCATCATCCCATAACAAAAAATACATCACAGCAGAAATTGTGCAAGTGTTGAAAGCAAATCCAAATGGAAAATCAGAGCAAAGACTTTCAATAACACACAGTTAGGAGGGGTTCCATAAGAGGGATAGAGGATAATAATTGAGGATAAAATATATGTGTTTGCTAAGAGGTCCAGGATTATATTCTACTATTTACACTGTAGTGATGAGAGGTTATCTCATATATAATGTGGAATAACTATGCCCACGAGAATCCCTATCAATGGGATCACAAAGTCTATACTTCCCCTATACCAAACAAACAACCCCAATGGTTGTAACCTGCAAAGATAGAAGGTATGTCTGCTGATGGTCGTGCAGTAACGGATTGATACCAGTTCAAAGTTTAAACCAACAATGAGAATTTGACTCAAATCCTAACTGACCAATAACTAGGAAGCACCCTCTTCCAAACTTAGTGATCAAAATCATAACCCAAGATAAAACTTGAACTAGAAAAACGAATTCAAGATCCACACTTCTCCATTAATTGGAATGCCGAAGTTAAAGACTGATACACAAATTGCTAAAACTAACACACTTGTAGAAAAAATGATATAGCAATATAGACACTGCATCCAAAAGAAAACAACGAACATGTAAAGACAGTAGTAAATCACCCAAAGCAAATCAATGTGTGCTTCGGAATGATCAAAACAACATCGCAAAACGCACAAAACCACACAATGACATTAACATTAACGAATAAATAGGGCATTATGTGCCAAAGTATATGCTCACAAGGGAAGATAGCATTCAATCGAACAAGCAAAACGCACAGAGAATATCAGAATCCGAATGTATTTCAGAGTAAAAACGACAGTGATACTCAAGTTTAGACATCCCTTAATAATAAAAAAACAAAATTGAAGATAACTAAGCCTTAATCCCAAACAAGTTGAGATCGGCAATATGAAAGAAGAAAAAACTACGAAGAAAAGCAAACCTAAGCAGTGAGCACAACGGCACCACCACCCTCCTTAATCTTCTTCTCAGCATTCTTTGAAATAAGCTTAGCCTTCACCACCACAGCTTGGTTTTCCGGCAAAACACCCTTACCCAATACCTTGAAGTAACCATACTGGGTAACATCGATCACGGGAGCACTACCCTTGGTAGCAGCAGCCTTGTCCTTCACCTCTTGAGGTACAAGTGACCAGAGCTTGTCGATGTTGACGGTAGGGCAATAGAACTTGTTGCGGAGTTTGTGAAAGTAACGCATACCTACCTTTCCGAAGTAACCAGGATGGTACTTATCGAAAAGGATACGGTGATGGTGCATACCTCCAGCATTACCACGACCTCCAGGATGCTTCCTGTGCTTACCGATACGTCCATGTCCGGCACTGACGTGACCTCTCTTCTTCCTGTTCTTCTTGAAACGGGTAGTCATTTCTCCGTCGGCTGCAAAAGAGGAGAGGGGAGAGGGGAATGGGGAACTAGGTGAAAAACCCTAGAGGAGTGTGGAGAAATTAGGGTTTCACATATTTATAGATGGAAAAGCTTTTTGGGCTTGGGCCTCCCGTTAGCTGTTAACTAAATTGGGCTTTCGCATCCATTTATAGATATAAAACAAAAAATTATAACTTTGCGTCTTTCCAGAATTTCTGGTCTTCCTTATGAAAATTTGACCAAATTTACACTTATTGGCCAAACATTAATAAACTTACATGAATTATATACTAACTATTATACTAATTTATTATGTATTCCAACTAATTTGCTAATGGTTTTTTTTGTGAATAAGCACTTCATCTGACCGTTGTAAACAAATAGTATATAATAATAAGGATAAAATAAATATAAAGTGATAGATATATTTATTAATCTGGACTATTAAAAATGAACGAATTAAATAATACAGCTGTTACATCCTCACAGAAGTTTAATGACACTTCTTCTAGGTGTTCCATTTATGTTAATTTGGTTAATCTCCAGCTTTAAGTAGTTAACGATTTTGCAGTAGGGTTTTGGCCTTTAAGAATGAAATATAAAAAAAGATGACCTTTAAACTAACCAATACGAGATTTCCTGCAATATTTGGCCAAGTAGACGTCAACTGAACAGCTAAATAACACGAGTTAATAGGTTTCTACTTACTACAGTCGAATGCATCACCATACTGATGCTCAATGTAAAAGTTACTCAAAACAACAGAATGAATTTAAATTCAGAAGGGTAAAATATAGCACCAGACAGTATAATATTCTATTCCTGCACAAACTATGTTATCTGCATCTGCATATCCAAATTCCTAAGAACTGGCCATGTAATGAACCAACTCCACCAAGACTAGAAAGGAAAGAGATGAGTTTTAACTAAAATCTATATGCTGCAAAAAAGCATAGAGAATCCCAAAATTATGTCTAGTATACATTTCCTATACTAGACTCGGTAACTACCAAGGCCTTCTTGAACCGCCAATAGGAATTACATTAGACCCAGATCTCTGTCCCCCCCGGTTCCCAAAGCCACCTCGTCCTCTAGACCTGAAATTGCTTCCTGCAGCAAGAAAGCAATAGCCAAATAAATCAATTCTTGATATTTATAATGATATCACAATTTGGGATTTACTTGCATACGATACATAAAAAGTTGAGGATTGGAACACAAACCTCCAGTGCTAGGACCACTAGACCTAGCTAATGCAGAAAGTTGAGGGGGAACAATTTGTCCTGCCTGCTGCAGGATCTTGATAAGCTCTCTCGTAAACTTGGCATTTGCGTGAGTGAAAAATGTAAAAGCAGTCCCTGTTGCGCCAGCACGTCCAGTTCTGCCAATCCTATGAATATAATCCTCGAGACTTGAAGGGAAATCATAGTTGATAACACACTTTATGTCCTTAACATCTGCAACAAATGAAAAAAAGAACACAAGTCACACCCAACTGGTGAAAGAGTAGATACTTGCAACCTTATCCCTGCACTACTGATATCCAAGTGATCATTATGTAAGATAACACATCCTCACATAAATGTGCCCACCTTAACCTGGCAGGGATAAGGAGCAGCTCCACCAGAACTTGCAAAATCAATTCCAGTGACACAATAATCTTGCATGAGTCTACCGGACTGTCAGGACAACCAGCTCCATAACTATGGATGGGCAACGTTAACCTCGACCTTACTTAGACAAGATGACGTGAGACACACCCCTATTGGAGAAGAAGTCACCTCCCTAGGCTTAAAATTCCTAAAGTATAACAAACACAAGTATTCTTCCAACCACATGGAGGAAGAGCATCTCCTATCATCTTCCGCTAATTGCACAATGAATTTTAACACCTTCATTGACATAAGCAGCTAGAATTTCAAGTGTCACATTCTATACTAGTTGCCAGTTTCCTTCTTATGACTATTCTTCACAAAGGCAGTTCGCAATTCCCTTTACACCCACCATCCTACTTCCTAAATGTTGAATAGAGCAACTGGCCATTCTCATTCAGCTTGATTGTTCAAATGCTCCACTAATCAGCTAGACAGAGTGGTGCAATACTCGGTCCCTTACAGTATATAACCACCCAACAACTTTCTAATGTGGAAAGAAACACAACCAGATAGTTAGTTCTCTTGTGCGCTCTTAGCATGGGGTGATGAGTGTGATACTCACAAGTTCCTATAGATTTCAATTAATTAAATAAATAAATAACATGTATTCCATTTAGCCTATTAATATAAAAGAAAGTACAGGGAATTTTACTTGTCAAAAAAGAAGTCATGCGACTTCATTTCTCTCTAGATTGTGAGGATAAGATAACCAAAAGAACAAGCTACAAGTTCTTGGTGTGATGCTATGCTAGTAGACATTAAACATCATTTGCAATTTGTATGACAAATTTCCAAGGCTGCATTAACGAAGTCCACTAATGAGAATAGGACTCACCGTGCAGCCTTTTGTAACCAACTCTTGATTTATCTCGGGTTTTCTGAAACTGATCGACCTCCATATAAAAGCTACAGCATTCACCAACTTGAAAATTGATTCTTTCAGCACTCTAATTCTCTAGTATATCTAACTTAAAAAGGTGTACTCCCCACATTTGAAATTAGATGCCCGAGCTCACGTTTTCTAATGACAAAAGATCCAATAAAGACCCAAAAAGAATTATCATTATTACATCAACATAGTGCTCACTGTAAGAGCGGTTTCATCCTATTTAAACATCCTTTTTTAGAGGTTACTCAAGAGCTGGTCACATAATACCATTTCAAAGAGATCACTATAAATTTCTGCCTTTAATCTTATCTCTATTAATTAACTGATACAATGTTTGGACAATTTGAGAAGTGCAGTTAAGTGTTCAAACAACTCAAAACACCAGCTGAAACCAAAACCCTATAAAATTGCAGTTAAAACTCAGTGTGGTCATTTATGGGTGGCTATTAAAGAAAGGACCTAAGTGTGACATGTTTAAGTAAGCTCCTGCTGAAGTTCTATTGAAACTCAACTAATGGTTCTAATCCATAAATCCTATAACCTCTCCTGCTCATAGTGCAAAAACACTGTTATTGTGGTTAACGTGCCCCTAGCTTTCGTCCCAAACCACAGATTATTTACTCAGGAAAGTTGACAGCAGCCGGAGACTCGTTAGCTCTACTGTGAAAGACCTATATGGACAGACTAAAAAAATCCTAATCCTTAACATGATTGGTCCTACCAAGACCACGTGCAGCAACATCAGTGGCAATCATTATGGGACTTCTTCCACTTTTGAAATCAGCCAGGACCCAATCCCTCTCATCCTGGCTTTTATCACCATGGATAGATAAAGCTGGCCATCCATCCATTCTCAATTGTCTGGTGACTTGATCACATCCTTTTTTTGTTTCCACAAATATTAGAATTCGGCTTCCATCCATCACTTCTTTCAAAAGCCCAATCAACCTGTGAAATCAAAAAAACCATGAGCAATAAATTTGTACAGATACCCATCGAGTAACATATTGGTGGCTATTAGATCATACCTGCTATATTTCTCTAAATCTGTGACAACTTCAATGACTTGCCTTATAGATTGATTTGCTTTCAATTCTGGAGACCCAATGATGACCTGACAGGTTAAGCACATTTAAACCTATTCCAAACCCTCTATATAAAACACTGATTTATTGTGACTAGGAGTGTCAAATGTAACCAATTAGTGACCTAACCAGAATTTTATGGGTTGGGCACAAGATAATTTAATAATGGGCTATAACTTTTAACACGTTTAATCATAACCCATTTTAAAATATGAATTACTGATTTTGCTACCGTAATCATGAGTTAGAGAATCTGTTACACTATTTACAAATGCTCAGATCAATGCAGAAACTTACAAATACTGAAGTTCATTACTCCCTTAGTTTCAATTTATGTGGCACTCGTTCATTTTTAGACGTTCCAAAATGAATATTGTAAATTACCTTATGGCAACTATTTAGTGGCACCTTAACCATTTTATTAATACGGGCAATTCTGTATATTTAAGATTTCAATAAATTTACAAATCTCTTCATTAGTTAATATTTAATATGAATATGCCTAGAAATGGTAAAACTTAGCATATATATGTGTATCTATACACTTCTTATATATTTTTCCTTCATCCCTCTATAACTGGGCTAAATATTGATTGATCTCAAATATATTGCCCTGACTCCTCCATCTACGGCAAAATCCTCGCATTTCCGTCTCGAACATGACGGGTAAACTTATTCCTATTCTTGGCCTGCCGCTCTACTTTCTCAATTTTCCAATCCTTCATCCTTTTTGGCTGCTACCGAAACCCTAGATCTGGTTCACCGGCTGAACCCAAAACGATGTTGACCCAGATCCTGACCAACTGCAACAGGAGCTTTTAACAAAGCGTCTCTCCTTCTCACCATTCGCTGTAACCCACCACCCGCCGGCATCATTACAGCCACCTCTAAAGACTAGGTCTGGTTAATTCTAGTCTCTCTTCTCTGTGACCTTCAAGATCAGGTTCCATTATCTGTTCAAGAATGTCTGGGTACTTGCAAATCCAACATGAAGCTCCTCCGTTCTTCAAGATTACCCCAGATCAGGATCAGTAGAATTATTTCTACTAGTTGCTGATTTTTCATTATACCTCCTGGTAGATTCTTTTCCTATTTGTTTTTATTACTGCCTCCTTTTTTATCCTCCCCCCCCCCCCAACCCCACAAACATCCAGCACAAGGTGATGGTCCAACCGTGCTAGTATTTTAACACCTACAAGAGAACTAGTTGTTCAGATTCAAGAAGAAGCTCTCAAATTTGGATAGCCTGCCAACATAAGAAGTACTTGCATTTATGTTGATGCCCCAAAAGGACCTCAAATCCCTGATCTTAGAAGAGGTATTTGGTTTCCTTGTTCATTAACTTGTTAGTATTAAAACTCTTTTGCCAAACTGGTTTTAAAACATGAAAATTCATGTCGGGAGTTGAAATTGTGATTGCAACCCCGTCAGTCAAAAAGATATGTTGGAAGCTCAACATACTAACTTGAAAAGAGTGTGTCACATATTGGACTAGCCTGACCAAATGTTGGATATGGGGGTTTAGCCTCAAACAATGAGGCCGAAATGGTTCTTAGCAATAGTCATGATCCCCTCCTAAACCTCAACCCCATTTCCAAGCCCTCACAGTATGACTTACCAACTACCCCTATAGTTGTTGCAATCCTGAATGTCACCCTTGTCCTTGTACACTGAAACTATTATACTTAATTATTACGCTTCGGGCATCTTTGTCGTCTTGAAACATCAAGCGACTTAGTTGGCCACTCCATACTACCCCCATATATGCTCTTGTAAAAATCCATCAGAATCTTCTCTGGATCAGCCATTCTACCCCAACATACACTGCAAATGACACCCTAAACCTCTTTAACCTTTATCCGCCTACAATAGCCATAATTAGCCACCTTCATAAGAGCTCCAAATCCCCCTCACATTGTTTTTGTCCCTCCCTTCATTCAAGAGTGTATGAAAGTATATCTACCATATCCTTCTGATAAGTACCTCATCCACCCGTACTTTGCCATCCTCAATTTATTTTTTGATAAAGTCCACCTTTGCCCATTAATTCTGCATATAAGACCTCAAAAGTTGTTGTTTTGCCACCATAACCGCTAACTTAGCCTCCTTCCTAGCCAATTTATGCTTCTACCTATTCATCTGCTTCTCCTCATTTTTACTCTTCACCAACTTCGCATAATCCCCCTTCTTTGCCTCCACCTTCCCTTGAACTTCTCCATTCCACCATTAGTACACTCGATGTCCACTAGGTCAGCTTCTTGAGACACCCAACACCTCACTAGTTGTCTCCCTAATGCAGCTGCAGTATCATCCCACATACTGTCTGCATTCTCAGTACTCCCCCAAGCCTCGTAGACATAAACTTCTTCCCTTATCTCTAGGGCACTAACCATAGTCAAGCTACTCCATTTAATCCTCGGATGGTCATCCACAACCCTACTCTGCTCCTCCTTGATCTCCAAATCCATCAACAAGAGTCCATGTTGGGTCGAAAGATCCTCATTTGTCCCTCTCCCCCATCCCAGAACATGAAGAAGACCCTAACTTACCATTGTTTACCCGAACCACTAAAGCAAATATAAACTAAACACGGTGATCACAAAACACACCAGAAATACTACTAACACACAAACAAGAACAGGCAAGTATGCTAATAGTCTCAAGGATGATAGAATTAAAAGTAAGACTCTTAAAGGAAAAAATCAAAAGAGGCAAGAATCAGTGGACAACATAATGAGTCAGTGGACAACATGACTAGTTGTGTCCTCTTATAACCAGGGGACAACATGACTAGTTACATATAAGTGGGTCAAATTAAAGAAGTCATGACCCGATCCAGTTTTTGACCTATTTCAGCCTACATTTTAGCTCAAGTAAATGTGGATGGGTTATTAACTGGCCCATTTATTAGATCAGCCCATGTTAAACCTCCCAATTCCAGCCCAACCCACCATTTAACACCCTACTTGTGACGCACTGATATGTTAACATAATATAGAATTAAGCATTAAAATGGCTTCACTACTTACCTTATAGGGATTACGTAGAAACTGCCTAGCCAGCGCTTCAACCTCCCTGGGCCAAGTGGCACTCCAATACAAGGTTTGTCTATCTGGTCTAATCTGTATCATCATTTAAAAAAAAATGAACCTCAGATTTTGAGCTTCTCTCAGAGGAATTTCCAGTATGATGTAATAATTCAAAGACACACACAACGAAACAGAATACCAGCAAGACAAATGTATGGTAACACAACATGAGTATCTGTATGAAATTAAGAAAGATTTCGACCTATTTTGAACAAAAAGCATATACAGTTGAGAGGATTTGAGACAAAACAAAACCAAATTAGTGCCCAGTCTAATAAAGTGGGAAGAAACAACACATACGCAATATCCGTCTTTCAAACATAGCCAGAGAAAATGCAGAAGCTTAGAATGTGAAGCCTGTGACGTATATAGTCAAGTCATGCATTAAGTTACATGACAAGAACCAGAAGTCATCTGAGACCAGCACAATCACAAGGTAATATCCAAAAAGTCAAAGCTCACATTGTTTACCAAAGTTCAAAGTAAACTGCTGACTACTCTCATTAAAATACCTTAACTACAATGAATTGATAAACATATTGTTAAAACCTCTTTGAAGAGAAAAGTCACATGAAAGTGTTGCGTCTCCGTAACCCATTTAACAAAAGAACAGAATCTCACTACCCCTTTGAACTTTTAAAACATTTCAACACCCTAAATCAAGCAAATCAGCAAAATTTCCACATTTAAGGTGCAAAACCAAGCAAGCAAATCAGTCAAAATAACTTCCTTCTCTCACATTTTATTCATGGTCCTAGAAAATTAACTGTGGAACGATATGAAGTTGGCAAACATTCTATTTTCAGCTCAAAAAATGGCTCAAAAGGTTAATATATCAACCCCAGAAAAAATGCTAAACCTCTGCCAACCGAGTCAGACAAAAATACACTCATATTGAACTGTCAGAGACAGTTCCACTCAATGCACTCATCCAACTGTAGCTCGCAAGATACACAATGAAAGTTGAAAATTTGTACTGTAGCAGGTCCCAAAAGATATAATAGTTGTCACTACAGTGAACAAACATGATGAAGTATCAACACAGATGAGGACACAAAATGATTATTGAGCTAAATTACGGATTCTCATCAATTAAAATATAACAGAAAAAAGCAGATTGTGCATGCCTGGGAAATTAGTTTCCTTATTTGAGGCTCAAACCCCATATCCAGCATTCGATCAGCCTCGTCCAATACAAGATATGTCACCCGCTTCAGGTTTGTATGTTGAGCTTCCAGCATATCTATTAACCGACCGGGGGTTGCTATCACAATTTCAACTCCTGACATGAAATTTCATGTTATAAAACAAGTTTGGCAAAAAGGGAATTAATACTAACAAGTTAATGAACAAGCAAAATGAATACCTCTTCTAAGGTCACGGATTTGAGGTCCTTTTGGGGCACCACCATATATGCAAGTGCTTCTTATGTTGGCACGTGATCCAAATTTCACAGCTTCTTCTTGAATCTGAACAGCTAATTCTCTTGTAGGTGCTAATACCAGCACAATTGGACCATCACCTTGTGCTGGATTTCAGGGGAGAGAAATCAATAAGGAGGCGGTCATAAAAACAAGTCAGTCTGTCTAAGCAATTAAAAAAAAGGAAAGTTACACTAACCCAACCGGGGCTGTGCGCTGACATGGACCAAAGCAGGCAATAAATATGCCAAAGTCTTTCCAGAACCGGTTTCAGCAATTCCAATTAAGTCTCTGCCCTTTAGAGCCATTGGCCATCCTTGTGATTGGATAGGTGTTGGCTCAACAAATCCTAGTCTTGAAATAACCTCGAGGCAATAATCTATCACACCAATTCAATCAGACAAATTTCAACAGATTTAGCTAAATTAATCAATACATTTAGTTCTAGCGCAGTAATACCAGGAAAGTTCGCCTCATGGAACATCTGAATTGGCCTAGGGACATCCTGTCCTTCAATGGTAATGTCACGCCGTGCACGATAATGAGCAACCTCCTGATCCGTCATTGCCCTCACAGCATGATTTTCAACATAAAAATTCTTCTCAAAAGGTACCAAATTTCCAAAGTCTTGCTTTGGAAGAGTAAGGTTGTCAAGATCATCTCGCGATCTCCCATGCCTACCTCCTCTCCCGCCACTACTACCACGTCCTCCATCTGAACTAAACCTTCCACCTCCTCGTCCGCCACTGTAGCCTCCATCAAAACCCCTACCTCCTCTCCCACCACCACCACCACTCCTACCTCCACTGTAGCTTGCCCCAGCACCAAATCTCCCAGGCCGTTCCCCCATACCACCATTAGCGACTCTGTCAACTCCTCCACCTCCAAACCTGCCCATATCCGACCCTCTTGCAAACCCACCTTCAAAAGGTTGATACCCACCACCAACGCGTCCAGATCCACCCATACCCCCTCTAGAACCACCATCCATAGGCGGTGGACCCCCTGCCTGAGGACCTCCATAAGGAAGCGGCCCACCACGGCCATAGCTAGCGGCACCTCCACCGGGCATAGGCCGTGGATACATAGAAGGCTGCGGACCCATTAGGTCACTAGAATCCAAACACACACAATCAAGAAATGAATACCAATCACAACATTAAACTATATTACGAACCGAGAGTAATCAATGAAAACATATTAGTATGTAAAAATCAACAATTGTAGAGAACATTTACCTTCGTCGCTGTCGATAGGAGCCTGAATCACCGTATCTGGAGTCGTAATTAGGGTAGCTCATAGTCGGACGAGAGAATTAGGGTTTTTCGGATTTGAAAGCTGAAAGGGAGGCAAAGAAAACTGGATTTTCCCCTTCAATCGTATCGTGTTTCCCTCCTCTCTTTGCTATGTGTAAAGCCTTGTATTTCTCTTCAATTTCGCAAATGTAATATTTTACTACAACATATTTTTTGAATTTTCTATTGAAGTCGGTAAATATTTTTTTTTAGTAGTATATCGTCCTAATATTATTATTTTTTTGCTTTTGTAGTAGTATTATTATATTATAACAAATACAGCATAAACTTAGAAACTGATCTCAAAAACATTATATTTCATATTTGCAAATTGCACTACTTTTTCTTAGAACATTTTTATTTTTAAAACTGTTTGTATTTGATAATCAAAATTATAAGTCATGTATTTGGATGGAGACAAATATCCTAAAATTGGGATATTATGTGAAGTTACGAAGAAAATATAGAAATAAAGTTTTTACGAATATTTAAGTTGGTTAATTTTCAAAAGCAATCTATAAGAAAAGCACACTTTATATTAGCATAACCGAAAAGGCATATTCTTGAGGTTTATTTGACCAAAATGAACAATACATATTTTGTATTTTTGATAGTGACATATATTAAGTTTATAACATAATTAAATAATAAAATCATGTTGTATTTTCAGCAAAACATAAACACTATTTATACAATATTAAAAGTGAGAAATCAAAGTTAAAAATTCAATTACCAAAATGCTCATCAATTATGCACAAAGGGACACATGCATTGAAGTGAACTTATTAAGTAATTATCTTTTTATGTATACATATGAATATAAAAATTAAAGTTATAGCATTAACTCTTGCCATCTTAAATGATATATTAGTTATGTATTTATTAAATTACTTAACACCTTTTCATATAAGCAATGTATGTGATAATGTGAAATTTTTAAAATAAATATAAAATTACGTGGAGCTAAATATGCAATAAGGATGCAAAAGTTTGACATCTACCTAGAGTTTCTTTTCTTCCTTTACTTTCAAATTTGTTTTTAATAATATCTATTCTTATTAATAAAGATGTTTATATGTTGTTTTGATGAAATATTACAAAATTACTTGTCATAGATTTTACGAACATGATAAAATAACAATGAGTTATCGTCATTTTTATTAGATGATTTGAAAATTCAAGAAAGTCTAATCATATATTATTATATACGTGCTTTGTATTTTCTATTAATTTGAAGTTTCGACATTATTGTTAAAACTAAATTCTATCATATTAGTGTTGTTATATACTTAAATATTCTATTGCCAACCTATTTGAACTATATAAAATGTAGAGATATTTGTAATTTTAGTAATCGAATATACATTCTTTTTTCCTTTCAAACATTTTTTTAATTTTTTTTTTAAGCTGAGATCCCTGTTTTATTAAGAAATTTGGGATTCATATAAAATGGCTCAATATACCCCCAAAAAAAAAAGACATAAAATGTAAAACGATGGTGTTGATTCAGTCAATTTTTTCAATTTTAATCGAATTATGCCAAAACCTATATATATATATATACAAGTAAATGGACACAACTCCGATACATATACGCACACATTTGTTATGATCTCTATTTTTCGAGCGAAATATAGAGAGACAATACAACTATAAACTATACAAAATTCGTGATAATCTCATTTTCTTTTGTAAAATCACTTCGTTTCGGAAGGTGTATTTTCTATATACTAGCAAAATCAAATTAAGGTGTTGCAAGGTGAGCCAAGGAAGAGAATGGGAACGTCATCTTATAAGAAGATCCACCCCGAGATTGTTATTCTTTCATAGTCAATGAATTTACATTTATGTTCACTTTTTTCGTGAAGTTATTCTTTTAGAATAATAAGAAGAAGTATAAACTGAAGAAGAAGACGTCAACGACTTTTAGGTGCATAATTACTTTCTTTAAAGAGGTATTGCTCATATGCATATTAAGGTATATACAAACAACTCGGCTCAAGGAAATAAGAGAACTCTTTGCTTATACATGCATAATTTTCTTAAGCTAGTTAGTCTTTATATTTATAGAACTTAAGAGATAATTCTTCATCCAAGTCATGTTCTTTTATGAACATATGACTTTTCATAAGAGACATGTTTTTTCATGAACAACTATCATACAGGTCATGTTTTTTCATGAAAGAACGTGAATCTTATGGAGAGTCATCACCTAAGTTCTATAAATTTAAGACTCCCTAAAAGTAACCTAAGAAAAATCAATTTTATAAACAAAAAGTTTTGTTATATCCTCGTGGAAAATTATTTGTATTTATCCCAATATGTATATGGGCAATAGCTCTTTAAGGAAAGTGATGACAGACATCAAAACCATATTCTTCTTCTACAGTAAAAGCTCACTCAATTAATACTAGATTATTTAATAATCTTTCTAAGATGATAATTTCCTCCCATTTCGACTTGGATCAATGAAAAAAATTACTCATTCCAATAAGAAATATATTTTCAAAAAATTCTTATATAAATATACTGTCCAATTAATATTATAAAATATTAATTCTTTAAAAGTACAAATGTACCAATTCTTTTTAGTGAAATATGATTGTTGAACCTTGGGGATCACCATTAGCAATGAGGTCAATCACCACACTACCTCTATCATACATACGAAATTGCACGAAGCGAGAGTGCAGATCTTATTATGTTCTGTTTTTTTGAAGATATAAATCTAGTTGAAGTTTATCTCTTACTTTTTTTATTGCAGTCAAAAGTTTCGATGTTATTTTATCTACTTGCACCATAAAAATTGTGAAGAGTTCTAGTTGCAAGTGTTTCGTTATGCGTAGCTAGTTCCAAATGTATAGTATCAACATTATTTTTTCAATGATATCCAAAATTTGTTCTAGCCTCTAGATCTCTAAAAATTTATCATTTTCACCTATCCACTAGGTTGTTAACGTCTATTTTATTGTGGTAATCGAGTTCATTAATCATGACCTCATGTACATGAATGATGTTTCCATTAGTGAGCTCTTTCAAATTCAATGAGATTCCATCCCTGAACAAGTAAAGAACTTTATGAGATTCCATCTCTGAACAATATTTTTTTACTGTTGAGCACTCTTTAATTTAATATATATATATAAGTACCAGATGAATTAAATCTAAAATATGTATCCTTTTGATAAAAATGTGATAGTTAGTTTTGTTTAATTTTATTTAACAAGAAAATGTCACATAATAAATAATAATCACTTTTAAAATCTGCTAAGTTTTAAGGGTAAAAACAAGCATAAAGATTGAGAGATAATTTTAGCTAAGTAAATGATTAAGAAGTATTTTTAAACCTCTTCAAATAGTTCTAAGAATATTCTAAAATGTCAATCATAAAATTAATATTGTTAAAATATTTCTTATTCTTTACCAAAAATTTTTAATAATAATAATAAAGATACAACTCATATTCCGAAATATTAGCTACGTAAAATGTATTGAGTTCAATATGTCATCGCAGCATGATCTTTTAATGTGAAATTACACTATCTTTAGCCCGATGGAAGGATCAGAGTGTATATTCGAGTTCGAACTTTTACCAAATACCACAAGCTTCACATTTTTGCAATTATTATTGTTATATTATGTATTTTGTTAACTTTTCTTTATAGATCTAAGTAACGGATATTAAAACAATTCTACTTCTGAAATTCTGTTTTACACCATTTGGGTCATTGCAATTCAGAACTATTTTGTAATTTAATTATATCATTAATAGCATTCCTAAATTTAACATTATTTTTTTTTTTGAAACACTTCAAAAAAAGACTGCCTATTCAGACGCTGCGCTGCAACTTGCAAGAGAATTGTGATTTGATTTCTTCTTATTAAAAGCAATCTTTTCGATGGAAAATTTTTTAGTGTTTGAAAAATAAATGTCGATATAAATATATTTTATGTTGTAATATGCACGTATATATAATATGTATATAGTATAGGGGTGTAAAAAAATGAACTCAATTATAAATAACTCTCACCCATCCACCTCCCGATTTGCTCAGAATTTTAAGGGTTGGGCTCGAGATAATGTGAATTGAATTTGATCTCGACCCATTCAAGTCTAACTCATTTTAAGAGAATTATCAATTGAACTTAATTCAATCTCCAATTTTAATTTGTTTTAAAACTCTTTACTAAGATTAAATGTATGAATTATTGTCTTTTTAACATTTTTAGGATCAATCTATCCATTTTGTTAATTTTTTTCAAAAAATTCTTGAGCGAGAATTCGAACTGCGATATAAAAGTTAAATACACTATGTTAAAATTATTGAGATTAATTGGGTCAAGTTAGGCGGGTCAAGATTCAACCCGTTTTAAGCTTATTTTAACCCAACCCATTTGAGACCAAAACAAACTTGGGCGGATCAAAACTCAACTTAATTTCGATCTCAACCAATTTTAGTATCTCCAATTTCAATCCAACACACCTATTTAACATCTCTAGTACAATATTGTAAGATATATATACACACACAACATACTATTTGTTGTAAATTAATTCTCCATACAATTTATTTGGTGCCCAAGTATACACAAGTACATGTATATATATTCCTCGTATTGTAACAAAGAGACAAAACAAAACTAGACTTAGTATTTTCTTGTTTCTTTCTTGTTAATTTTTTAGTATATTATCGTTATATTATAACACCGAGTAATTTATCAATATTTATGTTATTCTTTTGAAGTATTTATCTGACTTTGATGTTTACATTATTTGAACAACTAAAAATGCAAACTAATAAACCAAGACCAATTCCAATTCGTTGATTTACAATAGTTAAAGCTACACCTTTCATGAAGTAAGATTGAAAATTTGAAGACGTTATGCTCTTAGGCTGCCCTCAAATTAGTAATTGAACATCTCAACTTTGATAAAGTAGAAAATGCATGGAATTATATCGCCTTGAGATGAATATATATGATTAAAAGTAATATTATGTTTTATGTAATTAACTAGACGAGCAAAAATATGTATCAAATTAATTTTTTTTTTTAAAATATCTGATTAAATCATTTTATTATGAATTGAAATGTTCTGTTAAAATAAAAACTTAAATCAAGAATCTCAATAAAATATCATATAAAGTACCAGGATTAGATTTGTACATTAAAGCCTTTAAAATAAGAGGAAAACCATCATATCTCTATCAAAAAATCAAGAACAAAATAAAACATATGGTATATTTACATTGTGTTTAAGGTATTATTACATCATCCATCTAGATAAACTCAAACTCTTTAAACACCATCTCATCACCCCAAATAAACCCAAAGTTGAAAATTATTTGTTTTTTAGAACAATAAAAGTTAATCAACATTTTAAAGAATATTCTAGAAATCGTAAACCTTGAATTCAACTTTTGGACACTATATAAATATGTGCATTAAAGTCAACAGCGGAAGTTTCAAAGGTCTGTGGGGCCCAGCCCATTAGCTTCGACCACGCGTTCTCCATATTTGCCGGCGAACAAAAAGTTTTACCTTTCCACCACGCTTAATTAAACCCGAGTCAGTAATTATAACATTCTTTAAACCGGAGATCGAGCCGAGTCATTTGCCATTAAACCCGGTTCATCACCTTTCGGCTCCAGGCATTGGAAGGACGGCAATTTTACTGCTACTTTCATATTGCTGCGTGATGTGGATGCTTCTTCGTTATCAGCTCTTACTTTTGGTGACTTCATTGATGAACCTCTGGTAAAGAATGGCGGTGCAATCTTGAGAAACCACCGGTCTGATTTTGTTTCCGGATCGAACCGGTCGATTCGCTTGAATGACCTTGCACCTCTGTTGCTTCCCTCTCCTGGACCGGCTCTGTATCCTCTTGTGGTGCTACCGTGTCTTGGTAGCGTGACTGCACAGCTCCTTGTCCGGTTTAGTAGAGCCCGGTCCATTACATCTTTCCTCACCTTCTCCGGCAATCTAAGAGTATACCGGTCTAAATTCTCCCCTGGTACCACTAATGAGTGACCGGTCGAATGTGACCTGAATTTGCTTAACATCTTTGGTCTCTTCAGAGAAAAAGACCTCGGCGGCCGGTTCACCGCGTTGAAACTCAAATTTCGTTTAACTTCTGGTTTTACAGAGGTCTCCTCTTGCTGTGACATCAAATTCTCATCTACATCTATTTGAATCGTAACTTCGTTATTTTGCTGTGTATTCTCCTGTTCTTGCCCCAATTCCCGGTTCACCTCAGGAGTTTGAACCGGCACCGGTTCATCAGGTTTAGGAGTAAGATCAGCTCGGCAAACAGGGCAAGTTACATGAGATTTGAGCCAAGCATCGATGCATTCAGGATGAAAAACGTGATCACACTTAGGGATCAAACGCAACATTTCATCATCTTCAAATTCGTTCAGACACACGGCACACTCCAAAGCTCCCTTCCCAATATGATGATCCTTTACTTCGACGTAAGTAAAGGTAGGAAAAGTCTCGATGACGGAATCTTCAAGTCCTCGAGTAGCAGCAGCAGTACGCCGTCGCATGGAGAAGGTTTGACCGATGCTTCCGTTAACTGCACCGCGGTTGCGTATGTAAATTGAGAAGAAGGCAATGAAAAAAAGAGCAGCAATAAGTATCACTATGATAATTGCCATAGCAGGACTGACACTCGGGTACTCGAACCGATTCTCGGAATCAGGGGAATTTGATGGCTGAGCTGACGCCGGACATAGTAATACTAATAGGAGGAGATTAACGGAAAGAGCTTTAAAATTAACCATGGCAGCTTTTGGTGGGAATTTTCGCCGGCCGGAGAAGGCAGAGTAATGAATCTAGGGAAGTGAGTATTTTGGATTTATATATAAAAAAGGAAACAGAGGAAAGAGTTTTTTCTATTGAGTCTGAAAAAGTCAATTGTAGAATAAAAAAGAGTATTATTGGAGGAAGAAAAAGATAAGAAGAAAATTTTGACTTCCACACGAAAAGGCAGCTTCTTGGATGATCTTGTATATTATGTTATAATTATTGTATTGATTTAAATTACTTCAATAAAAATAAAATTATTAAATAATAATTTAGAATGAAATGATAAAAAATATTAAGATGGTAGTATAATTACTGAGATGTTTTGTTGCTATCTAATTATAAATTTTAATGAACTTAATTTTAATATTCGGGTAAAAAATAAAAATAAAATACAAGGCGTAAAGGACTGACTATTTTGGTGTTCTAGAACTAAAAAGCAATTGCGGTCATAATGGATGGCTCCATGTGTTTGGAAATTATTTTTAAAATGGTTAATTGTTTAGTCAATTTTCATTACTAGATACAGGTGCCTATTTTATTTTTTTTATTTTTTTTTAGCTTATTGATATCGATAGAGTTTAGAAACGTTGATTAAATTTTTTTAATATTAATTTTAGATATTTAAATTATAAATTACTTTTTATTTGTACTAATTTATCTAAAGAGATTAATAAGTGTCTATGGTTAAATTATTTTTCATTTTTAATAGTAGATTTTTTCGTTTAAAATAATTAATAAGATATAACAAAATTTTATTGACACTCAAATTAATAAGATAATCAGTAAAAGTATAAATTTAAAACTAAAAGTCACAACTAAACAGATTCTATAATTTTAAAAAGTTTTACATATTTAAAATAGAATATAAAAAAAATGTAATTTTCTTTTGAATATACTAAACAGATACATCAATAAAGATAACGTGCCCGCTTTTACGTGAACTCTCTTATTTTGGACCAATTTGTGTATTTATTTCTTTGTTAAAAGTAGCCGGAGAATTCCAATTAGGGTGCTGCTGATCATTCATTTGATTGGATAATTATAAAAAAAAGGAAAACTATTCGGCTATCTAATTCATCGTTTATAGCTTAACTATGCCCACTTTATCTGATTTGGCCCAACTTGTATATATCAAGTAATTATTAAAACTAATTAATTTCCATTTCTTTTTCGAGACACTTTCTTTTTTTAAGTTCAAGTTCTCTGTACATCAACTTTCCTCTTCTGAGTATATATTTTGTAATTTCTCCCATGTATATAGGGTTAGGTATAAATTATCAAAAATCAAAATTCTGAGTTGAATTAGATTTTTTAATAGTTTGTTATTTTGTAATTTGAAATTCGATAACAATTTAAAGTAGAATTTTAGAATTATGATTTTCGGGTTTGTATTTGGTACGAGACATCAAGAGTATATGATATTCGATATTTCTCATTACTGAATTAATTATTTAATAAAGACCATATATCAACATGTTTTTTACTTATTTATTTGCTAATTTAAATAAAAAATTAAAGAATAAACATTAATCACTCAAATATATGTTTTTTAGTTGTCGTGTCTCTATATAAAAACATAGAAATAATTGAAAAATTCTATTAAATTTATATTACAATCCACTATAATTTCAATATAATATTATCGAGTGTATCAAACGAGATAACAATTACCAAATTACAGAATCAAAATTAAAAAGTTAATATTTCTTTTCAAGTGCTTTTAAAAATTCTGATATATGCTCCGCATGTGTTTTCTAGTATTCTCAAGTTCATGAAGAACAAAATTGATATATGACTTAACTAGCGTTTGACTCCGAGTTCTCATATATTCTTGGTTGAGTAAAGTTTCACCATGTATTTGGTTCTAATTTTTTCAAAAATATCTGATTATTTCAAAAAATATAATTTATACCTGTAAGTTCTAAAAAGTATTTTAAAAATATCCACAAATTTATATTATCGTTTTATAATGAATATATTTCTTAAAAAATAACCTTATAATATAATTGATAACAATCAACAATAACAAAATATCACTATAGGCAAGACAATACATTAATTGTATCCCAAACTTGTCACTAATTCAGGTATCCCAAATTTTTAAAATTCTCAAATATTAAAAGTTGGGCGAAAAACTGATTTTTTCTAATATTTAAACATATGAAATACTTAACAAATTTGTCAAGTTATATAACCAAACCATTTCTCAATTTCTTTTTCAAATATTCTTGGGGCCAAACGGGTCCTTAGTATAGCTTTTAAGTCATGTGTAAGTTTCAATCGAGGGTGTAATAGTTTCGAAATGAAACTGTGTAGTACAATAGTTTTAATTAATAGAATTACCACTGATAATTAAATTTTATATTACATAAAATCAATACTTTATCAGTTTTGTCATTTAAAATAGTCAAAGTAGTCCCATAATTTTCCATATGAGTTATTGCTCATTTTTTTAAATATTTAAGAACGCCTATTTCAAACACTAATCAAAGTCGACCTTTATCCCTGTTCTAGCAGGCTTATTAATAATTTTTTTTTTTGAGCTAGTTAACTTGTGGGAGTATATTTTTTATTTACTTGGCTAAAACAAGACATATGACAAGGTTATATTATTTTACATAAGAATAGTTTGACCTTTTTGTCGTATAATTAAAAACAACCTTTTGATTGATTATTGGGCATGGCAAAATCATTACATTTTTTTTTCTTTTCAAATTTTCAGAATTCTTTTTGGTACCACCATTATACTATAATTTATTTACTGCAACAAAAAGAAGAAATTTAGAGTGTATTTAATTCTTTGGTGAGATGTATAGTCATTAACATTAAGTTATGTGTTGGAATAAATTTGATTACGATAAATGTGAACTACTGTTTAAGTCTAGCATACTAGCACATGTCTAATACAAGTAAATTAATGAGACCGCCAATTGTGATTGTTCTAGATTTTAATTGACCAAATAATAGATAATAAATGTCTCTGTGAAAAAAGTTAAATGATATAAATAATCAAAAGTGGTTGCAAATGTAGAGACTAGAGAGCAGCCTTGTGGCATCCAATTCTTAAAAGGAATATAACCATGTGCTAACAGTTGCAAGGCGATGATTACTTAAAAAAGCGACATGTCTCGAATTAAAATTTTTGAAAATAGAAAAAGATTTTATCGAAAGTATTAAAAATAAAACAGAAAGTTAAATTTGATATAGTAGTATTAGGTTTGATTGCCTATCGAATTTATAAGATTCAAATTTTGAATTCTTCGTTATTGTTATTTTCTTCCAACTTCTCCATGGAACTTGGGAGAAAAACACATCCATTCAAATAAATTCCTGTTAGATTGTTTAGCAATCTCCGGCTGTGAAGGAGCTTCACCTTTCTTTATCTTCTTGCCTTCCTCACCAACGACATTAACTTGACAGGAAGCTGGTGCATTCTTCTGAACATATTCTCCAATTCCATGTCCCTTCATCACTCGTCTGAAACAAATATAAATAATAATTCACTAAGAATGTTCAATTTTGATATGCAGTGTTCAATTGAACAGTAACAGAGAAGGATGTTTACATGGTGGAAAGTGATCGTTTAGTTCCAATAACGAGGCTGGTAACATTGACAACAGATATTAGATCAAGTAATGCTTTGCCTGGTGATTTGCTCTCCACAAGTACAGTATCTACTGATACCTGCAATCCCCGGTTATAAAAAAAATGTCAAAACTCTGAATTTGACACTTGATTTCTCGGATAATAACTACTCCATTAGTTGATTGACCACATGAGAAATTAACCTCTAAAATCGGGCTATTGAGGATTTTGCAAATAATGTATAACTCACTTTGGCATCATTGCATAAGCGGATGTATTTTTCCAAGAGATTCTTCCGCCTGTTGCTCTCTTCATTGATGTAAGCTTGCACCTGCTCTCTCGTCAGTTGGCTACTTGATAACTTGCCAACTTTCAAAACAAAATTCAATTTGTTAAACAAGAACCATAAATGCAATACATACAATGCTATGTACAAATTTATTTATCCTCAACTAACCACTTAATTGACAAAAGACCAGATACATTGTCCCAATCATAACTTGTGCATCTTGTCAAGGTAGGCAGCTTTTTAGTTTTGTCCTAAGCTACTACAAGGTTAGAAGCACCAGATTTTAGGTTGGCTCATACTGAGATTATTTAAAGTGTATTCATCAACAATTAGGTGTTTGGACATGGATTTGGGATCGTAATTTCACGTTTGTGATCACATACATTTATTTTTATAACATGGAAATATGTAATTTATCAATGGGCGTCTTAGGATATTCTGATATCTTATTTATCGAGTATGATTTGCTCATTTGGAAAGATTGTACAAGAATTAGAGAAATTTTGATAGTTTTCACAACTTGTAGGTTTTCATGTTTACGAGAAAAGTACAAAATTTAAAAAAATCCAAATTGCATATCCAAACAGAGTTTAAACTTCAAATTAATCTTATTTCAAATCATGTCTAAATGAACCTAGCGCTATTTGATTGCTCTGCATCTTTTGGTGATGGGGCTGGTACAGTAGTAAATGTAAGATACATTTTGTACAAGCTGTATCGACCTATTATTACAATTAGCTTGTATAAGGCTTTATTTCCGAGGTCAAATTAATGTTTATTTAATTATTTTTGTAAATATCCAAATCATGCGACAGAAAAATACTGTTCACGATCTCGAATTCCCTATTGTGCTTGATCTATTGATCATCCTATCTTGACATTCCCCTGTTTTCTTGAATACATCGTTCTATGGTTCTCGAATATGTACTTGCTTTGAGTGTTTATTTATTTTCTATTGGTATCTATGAGTTGATCACAAGTCGAAATATGGTTTGCTATGAAGGCCTTTGCAATATTCAGGAAAAAAACGATGAAAACAGTAAGGAACAATACCACTGTTTTTCTATATGTGCTCAGCTGTTGTGGAAGAAGCATCAAATTCATAAAATTGAAAGAAAATTATGACAAATAAAAGTTACCTGGTGAAGGTATGTAGGTAATGGGAGGAAAAATATGCACAAGGCATACGCGAATTCCTGGAGAGATGGCATGATCAAGTGCCCATTGAAGAACATACATGTCATTCTTGCCAACTGCAACATAAACATCATTGATCACTCCTCCATCTTTGTTGTTCCCAATCACTTCACTCTTGGTATCTTCTCCGATCTCTTCGATTTCCCAAGACATCTCTTTCTCAATAATGCAACTAGTAGTGAATTTTACTCTCAGTCCCTCATCTCTACCAGTCCAAAAAGGGGAAAAGCAAATGGTTTAGTGGGGACTGTGTGTAAAGATAAACACTGTGGACTTAATAAATAGAAAGAAAGGAAACAAATATTAAAAGCTTATGGAATTAACTGAATATGAGGTAAAGAAGCAAAGTCGTCGTTATCGAAGACACAAAGTAAGGAAAAAGTTTGGTCCTTTTTTTTTCTTCTTTTTTTGTCAACATTTGCAGGCTTACTGGACATGTCACATTCTATATGTGCCTTTTGTGTTAAAATAAAGAAGAGAACTTTGCTTTCTATTTCTCTAGTGAAACATGCCTTCTCCCCTCCTGTTTTTTCTCCTTTGGACCGACTTCAGATAGTGATATAAGAGGGAATATATTGAATCATCTAGTTTTTTTTTTTTTAAAAAAGTAGTTTTGGACCATACTATGATGTCCTTAAAATGCATGCCAATAGGTAGTACTTACTAGTTACTACCATTTGGATTTTCATTTCCTGCTAGTGATGTTTTCCACACTAAATATTTCATAACAGTGATCTTTCTCATATGCAGAAGATAAAATATTTCATAACAGTGATCTTTCTCATATGCAGAAGAAAACTCAAACATGCTCTTGAAATGACGAAAATCATGGTGGAGTAGGAATTTCTAAAGGCAATATTGCATTAGGTAACATGAATGATAATAAGATTTTCATAAGAGCGGCATAAACTTTGTATTTACTGGTCTATACCTTAATCAACCGCGCCATCTACTTTAGATACCCCTTGACCGATCTTTTCTGCACACAAAATTCCAGTATGCCATATTAAGGATTAGCCTATATAGGAGTTCACCCAAGTGATTGAACTAACAATAGCCAGAGAATGTATAATATATGTAAAATATGTGTATTATCATCAATAATCGATGTATACCAACTAGAAAAAATAAATAAATCTGTCCAGCTATTTGTGTGAAGATCCCGAAAAAAAATACCAAAAAATACTACTATATGGAACAAGATTGAGAAACAAAAATATCAGCCGAGGCTAATTAGATAGATTAAGATCATAAACATCTTCTGATCATAGCAGTATCCCTGAAACTATTTGGTGTTTAAGCAAAATTCGATGGTTATGCTTAATTTGGAATCAATTAGTATGAAAATCAGAAAAAATTTGAAGCTTTATCTTTCCTCTGGTTTAAAATTGGTTTTCTGATTTTCATTTGTCTGTTCCTAATACATGACCACATGGTTTCCTTGTTTTTTCCAAGGACAGGAAAACACAAACATTTTGTCCGTTTTCGAATACATAACCCCCCATCTTTCTTTTACTGTTCATCCAAGTTGTTCTCTTTTTAACTTTGATCAGGTAAACTAGCTAAAATTTTCATAAAGAAGACATTAATCCCTCTCGAGCACAACGTACAACTCTCAATTGTGCTCTCTAGGTGTGCTTGTTACCCCTTTCTTCCCACTGTAAAGCCTTTCCTCGTCTCAACTCGGCCTTCACTTTTAAGGCTATCCCATCCTAAGATATTATCATATCAACGTCCATGAATCACTGCAATAGATTTTAACCACTAAATTCAAGATGGATTAGTATTGGTTCCTCCACGTTTAAGACACCAGAATATCAAGCTACGAAATTGCTTAAACTATACAACAAAAAGTAATCACCAGTGTTATTCGACAAGTACATCTCCAAATGATGTCTTCACCAACCACTTGGCATATATATATCACACACTTTATAGCTATTGTTCATCTACTTTCCAAATTGCTAGTCTTATTCATCTAAGTTTCCACTAAAGTATTCTGTTGAAGCACTTTTAGATACGCAGAGAGACATATTTTGGTGCAAATGTCACACTAACTGATTTTTTTAAACATCTGAATTATCACAAAGTACTGTAACATAGTTTATGGGTTATCTAACCTAGCACGTTTTTATTAGGACCATCCCCTTGCAGTATATTCTTTAGTAACTTGACATCACGAAAAATAATTCTTCTTGCTGGCACAACTAGAAGCAAAAAATCAGTAGCTCACTGTTCTGTCTTGTGAACAATAGCTTTACCAGTTGCACCCCATCTTTCATTTGACGGATTCAAGATTTGAACTTTATGAATTCCTACAGATTGAAAATTATTATAACTGCCCAACAGGGAGAGAAACAAAACTTAAGTAACGAGTTCCATTTCTGCCACTATATTCCCCACACCTGTTTCTTACCTTCTCAAAATAAATACAGGATGTGAGCAAAAGTTACTGGGCTCCCGAAAACTCCCACCCAAAAGCCCTAGATCCGCCTATGCAATAAGTGAATTATAGTCAACCAGCTAGAATAGAGTATGTTGTTGGATCTTGATCGTTGCGGACAAAGCAGATAACAAAAAGCAGTAGCAATAGTGGGGTTGGACCTAAGCGGACCGTGGAGTGGACCATGTATCCACTAATACTGCAAATTGCTTCTTCTGTAATGAATGGATGTGCTGATAATAACATCCACTCAACAAAGATATATTCCCATGCTCAAAGCCATCACAAATGTCATAAGTTGATGGCATCATTATCCATAACCATTAATCTCAGTCTTAACTGGTTTTTATGGAATAATTGATTCTAAATTGATGGATTGTGCAAAGTGCAACAGCAGTTTCTCTTTCTTACTACTGTTCGATTAAGATACATTGTTCTAGCTAATACTGATAGTGGTTGAAATTTGAAAAAAAAAGAGAGAGAAAGAAGAAGTATTAAGTTTAAGTTGAAAATGTTATTTGGAAGTTGATAGTATATTGTTTGGTTACTACTTTTGTATTTGAATATATTATTTTGCATTCTATTTTACTTAAATGCAAATATATACTCCTTATGTTTCTTCATATATGTCAATCACTTTCTATAAATTATTGGACCATAATACTTGTCACTTTATAAAATCAATGTATAAATTACCATATTCTTCCTACAATATCACTGATAGAGCGCTTAAGTAGTTTTGAAAAAATATATACTTTGATCAACCTAGGAAAACTAATAAGTAATTAATATTCATTGGAGTAGTTCATACATTTGTTAATTACTCTGTCCATTCACTATTCTTATAAAATCAAATTATTTTTATGTTTACTGTATTTATTAATTCTGAATTATTTGAACACAACACTACAAAGCGTTACATTTTTTTTAAAAAAAAACGGTTGTACAGTAGGATAAATGAAACAATCTTTGTCAACCATCCAAACAAAGCTAAATTTAATTGTTACTTTATGTGAGATATTGTTGGATTTATTATAATTTTTCTGAATCACTTTTTCAGTCTCACCAACCAAATGACCGATGTACTCTATATAGACACAAAATTCTTTGTATTCAAAGCACATAAGTCAGCTCTTCTTAAAACATGACTAAAATTTCCTCTCTCCTTAAATTGCTACTTTTCTTGATATTTGCTGGATGGCTATCTGTTTGGCTTCTCAAGCCCACACAACTATGGACTAAAACTTGGAAGCTTGCAGAAAAAAAGGCATCAGCCTCATTCTTAACCCAATCTGGTGAAGTTCTAATTTCCAAAAGTCAAATGAATTTAGATGTTCGTGTACTACAAGTGTTAATTTTATGACACTTTTTCGTCTTGTAGGTCTTAATTTTGCTGTCTATACCTTTCCTGTTATTGCTATAGCTATAGTTGGTTTTGTTTACTTGTCACTGAAACAGAAGGAAGCAATCAGCAGGTATGTTTGCTGCTTCAATATAGGCATAACAACAAAAACATAGGTAGAGTAGAGTGTATGCAAACCTTATCTCGCCGGAATTTGGTTGACAGGAAAGGGCGGTCTTCGCTATCTGTTCTCTCCAATCCAGTAGTTGTGAATAAGTACATAGGCATTCTGTCTGGTTTTGAAATCCTTGCTGTATGTCTATTCGTCATCTTTCTAGCATGGACATTCTATGTTCGTATCTCCAATGACTTCAAGAAGATGGTACCAATGAAATCATTCACTTTGTCTGTGTAAGTATATATATTCCTATATTCCATGCAAGAAATGATACATATATATATAAATCATATGGTAATACTTTCGAACGCGTTTGTTTACAGATGGCAATACAGAGTATTTAGAGTGGCAACTAGGAGTGGTTTATTAGCAGAAGCTTGCTTAGCTCTTCTTCTTCTTCCCATCTTGAGGGGAATGTCAGTCTTTCAAATACTTGGCATCCAATTTGAAGCTTCGGTTAGATATCACGTTTGGCTTGGGACAACAATGATATTATTTGGTACATTACATGGTGGAGGTACTTTACTAATATGGGGTATCAAACATCACCTCGGAGATGAGGTAACCTTATGTGATCATTTTGCCCATTACTTCCTTTTTTCAATTTAGTTCGAACATATGTGTCTATGCTTTGCTACTTACTATTTAAGTCTATTTTTTGTATGGAGAAAAAAATAGATGTGGAAATGGCAAAAGACAGGGCGTATTTACCTCGCGGGGGAGATCACTCTTCTTATAGGATTGGTCATTTGGATCACATCACTTCCACAGATAAGAAGGAAACGATTCGAGATCTTCTATTACACACATCACTTGTATATAGTTTTCTTGGTGTTTTTCCTGTTTCATACTGGAGATCGCCACTTCTACATGGTTTTGCCTGGCTTTTTTTTGTTTTGCCTTGACAAGATACTCCGAATGATTCAGTCAAGGCCAGAAACGTATATTCTTTCTGCTAGAATCTTTCCTTCCAAAGCCATCGAGTTGACACTGCCAAAAGATCCAAGTACAATATCAGTAATCTTTTTCCAATTTTCCAAAAGTTACCTTTATGCTTTAGTGGTCCTAAATAATCACGTACTTAACACACTATTTTCAGGGTTGACATATGCACCAACAAGCGTGATTTTTATCAAGATTCCAAGGATTTCGAATTTTCAATGGCATCCATTTAGCATAACTTCTAGCTCGAAAGTAGATAAACACACCATCTCTATTTTGATCAAAGCTGAGGGAAGGTGGACAAGCACTCTCTGTAATATACTACATTCAAAGCCTGATTCAGAAGCTGGTGAAATGAGATTCTTGCAAGTAGCAACAGAAGGCCCTTATGGACCTTCGTCAATGGACTTTCTGAGGTAACGAAATGATGTTCTCCATGTTTGTAAATCGAGTTTTCATCTTTTCCCATATATAATTACCTGTTGAATCATCCGCAGATACGATAGTCTACTTCTAGTGGCAGGTGGAATTGGGGTTACACCATTTTTGAGCATTCTGCAAGAAATTGCCTCTACAAGAAGAAGCAAAAACGTATTACCTGTAAAAATACAGCTTGTCTACACTACAAAAGACTCCAAAGGCATCTGCTTGTTAGATTCAGTTCTACCACATGTTTTCGATGCAGAACAACATTATCTACAACTGAAAGTGTTTGTGACACGTGAACACCAATCCAACAGATCGCTGCGAGAAGTGCTAAACGAGGTCCCAAAAATACAGAACATTCATTTCACCAACAATCGTCCCGGCCATGCAATATATGGACTTGAGAACTTACAATGGATGTCCGTCCTGCTTCTGGTGGTGTCTGTTGTTTTCCTAGCATTCCTTATCATCACCAACCATGTTTTCATCAAGCCTGATAAAAAGTCACCTGAACAGAAAACTGCTACTTCAGTAGTGGACATTCTTCTCATATGCTCGTTTGCATTAGCGTTAATATCCGGCACCTTGGTGGCTACCATATGGAGATGGAAGAGGCTAAGAGAAGAAACTCCATCATTTTCTGAAAAAGAAAGTAAAGCAATGAAACCAACAGGAGCAAACAGAGTTTACGATCAACACGAAATCCATTACGGAGCAAGACCTAACTTTAAAGGTATGTATCAAATACATCAATGTCCTTGCTTTAACTATTTTAACTTCCAAACTATTGGCCGTCTAACATGTTGAAATTTTACAGATATCTTTTCCCAACTTGCTAATGAATCCAAAGGATCTAGTATTGGCGTCTTCGTTTGTGGGCCTGAGACATTGAAAGAATCGGTAGCAACAACTTGTCAGCTACTTTCTAACGGTTTTCAAAGTGGAGGACAAGATCATAAACCATTTTTCAGCTTTCATTCGTTAAATTTCAGCCTCTAATACTCATTGTGAACATCCGTCGAGCACATTGTCTACAAATTAACTTACTAAAAATATGAGTATTACCAAAAGGATTCAATTCCCACTCATTGTGAACATCCGTCGAGCACATTGTCTACAAATTAACTTAATAAAAATCCGAGTATTACCAAAAGGATTCAATATGAATGTTACCATATATATGATAGTAAAATATTAATATATTATGAAGTTTGATTTAGAAAAAGAAAAGAATTAAGAAGTCTGTCAGAGAGCCAAGAGACCACCCAGACCTGCGAGAGGCCTGAGAACGATCATCTGCGTAGTAGGCCCGAGGACCACACATGCAGTTAATCACGCTCTAGCCTCATGGCCACATATCATCCACCAGACTTGGATTCCTGTCTCCTTAGAAATTAAGGATACAATGGTACGAGCCTATAGAACAGATCCTGTTCAAGTAAGGTCGTGCCCTACTGTTGCGGTTGGAAGCATTTTAAACAGTTCATTTTTGAGTTCAACTAGCGATGTGGTAGAGAGGGACTTGATTCGGTTTTAAATAATAACAGATCTGCTTTTGATTATCTTGAGTAATGATTGTAATATCCTTTCAGTGACAAATTTGAACTGCATGCCCATAACTATTTGCAACTAATGCTGAGTTTAGGGTTACAATACAAATAACAAACCTTTAAACAATAATTTCAAGGCAATGAAGGAAACAGAAGTACAATATCTACACAGCCGAAAGTGGCTCTGATTCCTCAGTTGACCAGTCGCTTCTATCTCTCGTGTTGCTTTCAGTAGGTGCTAATTCAACGATCAACTCATTTGGCGTTGCATCGACATTTTCACCAAGCAATACAGCAACAACCTCCTTCATAGTAGGCCGACGGAGAGGATCAGGGTGACAACATGTAAGTCCTAGTTTCAATATAGCTTCCATTTCTTCCTCCGAACACTGCTCCTTGATCCTTTTATCTGCTGCCTCACATAATCGCCCTTCCCTGTACTTTTGTCTAACCCAATCAATCAACACTTCCTCTTCCTCCAACACAATCCCTAAGTCAATCGGCCTTCGCCCACATGCCACCTCCAAAACCACCACCCCAAAACTATAAACATCACTAGCAGCAGTTGGGTTAGCCCTTGTCACCACTTCAGGTGCCAAGTACCCTAATGTACCTACTACTCTAGTAGTATTAGGGACACCACCATGAGTATACAACTTAGCTAGCCCAAAATCACCCAATCTACCTCTCATTTCGCTATCTAACAAAACATTGCTAGATTTAATATCCCTATGTACAACAACTTGTTCCCAACCATGATGCAAATAGTTCAACCCCTCAGCAACATCAGCTAGGACCCTCCTCCGGTCTACCCAATTCATAACCTTCTCCGGCTTATCGAATATCCATTTATTCAAACTCCCATTAGGCATGTAATCATACACAATCATAAGTTCATACCCCTTCCTACACCACCCTCTCATTTGTACTAAATTCTTGTGTTGAAGCCTTCCGATAGTAGATATCTCAGCCATGAATTCCTTAATTCCTTGTCTTGAGTCATGGTTCACACATTTCACTGCCACTTCTGTGTTATTAGCTAATGTTCCCTTGTATACTTTACCGAATCCACCAGCTCCAAGTAGCTCATCTTTAGAGAACCCTTTTGTAGCTTGGCTAAGCTCTTCATTTGAAAATCGATGAGGCCAGTAATCAAGTTCCCAATCTTCAATCACATCATCTTCTTCCTTCTTACGCCACCAAAACCAATAAAATACAAATAAACAACCCAACACAGCAACCACAGAACCAATAACAATTCCAGCAATAGCACCAGAAGATAGCGAAGACCCGGAATTTTCCAGCTGAAAAACCGGCAAATTCGTAGTGTTAATATCCCTTGCAACTCCAGAATCACTGAAACTCCAAGCTAGAAGTCTTTGCGCCTCAACCCATTGAGTCTTTGAAGCAGAGAACCCCATATACATCTGGGCAGACATGTAATTCGCAATTATGGGGTTTCTATAACTCAACAAAGTCCTAGCAGGCCGTGACATACCCGCCGGAGCTATAGTAACATTAATCTCAAATTCAGGTCCATTAAAATCAATCCAAGCATGTATATTTTGCCCAGACCGCAAATTTAAAGGCACAAAAGAATCACTATCATTACCAGAAGAACTATAATACCCAGCCGTTTGGGTAACAATAGATTCAATGCTGTTAAGATCAATCCCGATATGATTTCTATCTGGGTCATTAAATTCCGGGTTACGACCCGTATCAAACTCGACGGCGAGAAGTGGGGCCACCGTGTGAACGGTGGCGTTAGAGAAAAGTCCAAAGTATTGACTGGAGAGGGCATTAGGCGGAGAAGTTGAAGCAGAGAGAACAAAAGCAATTCCGAATCCGGGACTAGAGGAATCATCAGGGAGTACAGAGAAGATGAACTGGGTAGAGAAAGAGGAAGAAATTGAAGTGGAATTTGAAGCGGATTTTATAGGAATTTGAGATGGGTAAAAAGCTCGGCCAAGGGAAAATTGGTTGGAGTCATTTGTGAGGCGGATAACTGGTGGCTCAAGGCGGGCATCGTCGATGAGGGTGAGTGCAGGGGTGGTGTTAGCAGTGAAGGAGTTGAAGAGAAATTCGATGGCGAAAATGGATGGGAAGATTGTAAAATTGATGAGAATGAACAACAGTGATAATGGTGGCATAGTTTTGGGTTTTGTACGAAGAAGAAGAAGATAAATTTGTGAAGGAAAATTACACGGTATTTTTGAAGGGAACTAGAGATGAGTTGC